TCGACTGACTGTGAACGTTTCGCTGCTCGCACAGCAAAGATGCCAATCTGCGAGGTGACATGGCCGGACCGCCTTGTAGAGACTTTGTCAATGCCTGCATTGCCTTGCGGACCCCGCCCGAATAGCCCGCCAGACGCTTGGCTATCAACGTACGAGGCAGAAAAGGGATCATCACTCTGACCTCCACTGTCCTGCCCATTCTGAGATGTGGACTGTGGTCGATCAAAGACATTGCGCGCATGGATCGATGAGAGCGGGCCATGCTCTAAGTGCAGAGGAAGTACCTGCGCACTTTCCGAGGGCATCGCTGAAGGTTCGCTCCCGATGGCCTGTTTGTGGGACCAAGAGAGCCTCGTCAGCCCATCGCCCGTTGGCCATCAACAGACGAATCTCAGGCAACAGTGGGCCCTGTTCCGGCCATTCACCTCATCGCAGAAGTGTCGCTCGAAGTATCTTATTGTTGCCGGCTCGGACGGATCGATGAACCTGTCGCATTGTTGGCAGTCGTTCGCCAGATCAGCATCTCGGCCATCCTCGATCAATCGCACGCGCATGTATGTTACTCATTACGCATCGACTCACATTCTGACGTTGCCGCTTGCCCTCCATTCGTAACTCGCGCTTCCACTAGTCGACGGTCGCTTTGCCAAGGCCAAGGGCGCTGGCACAGCTCCACCCGCGACGTGATTCTGTCCGCTCTGGGCACGCGATGTGGCTCTGCCGATACGCAAAGGTCGATGACGGACCATCTCGAGGGCAAGACACAGGTCCGCGTCCGCGTCTGCGTCTGCATCGGCGGCCGCGCTCGAGTCCGTGTGTTTCAGCGCATTGCTCTGTGGATCCACATTTTGACGCACTTCATCGTGACCCCCAGCTGGCGCAGTGTCGGGTCGAGCAGGACTCGTGCCGCTCAAGAAACCCAGAGTGCTGACGAATGCCACACCAGGCAGATGGGTCCCATCTTCCAACATTAGCGCTCCTCGCCACAGCAATCTGGCCTTCTTTCGGCTGGGCGTGGTACGAGCTCCAGCAGAGCTGGATGACGAAGAGGAAGCCAGCCGGTCGTGCGATGGCACGGATGAGCCGGGAGTAGGTTCGAATGATGCGCACATGGGGACGGTCATGACTGATGTGATCTAGACAGTCCACTTTGTTGGACTGCGAGTACAGGAGACGTGCGAAGGTGGACACGGTGATCGCAGGAAATGCTGAGCTCGACATTCGTTCCGCGTCTTGCGCTTGCCTGTCGATGAGAGCAAAGTAGGCCGATTCAAGCGCCGTTTCGGCTCGTCTTTGGACGAGACGCTCTTGACTCGTGACTGCCTTGTTGCCCCGGGTATGCGGTCGAGCTAGCAGCCAGCATTCAAGTCGGGACAGAAGCGATTGAGAGTGGCCTCGGCTGCCACAAAACTCATCTTGTCATGCAAGAGTCCGTGCGACAGGCGCAGTCACGGTGGAATCCTTTGCGAGTGATTCGCACGCAGCAGACAAGTCGGGATCGAGTGTGTACCGATCGGTATTGTGAGTCGGTTGTGAGTAGTGTCATGTGTTGGGATGACGCGTCGCAAAGCTGGGCGCGGGGCCCTGACGCGATTTACGCAAACGCGACCCCGGTCCGTCGAGGGGCAGTCACCGATATAGGCTTGGTCATTGCTCCACATAAATTTCATGCACGTGCTCAATTCAGCAGCTCTCCACAGCAGGAAGTGCGCAGTAATAATAATCTTGAATTTGAATCGTGAATGTTGGGTTGTAATCTGACCACCACATTCAAGTCCAATCAAAGAGATCGAATCATCAGGCAGCGACTCAAGCTCATTCTGCTCCGCAGACAAAATGATGCCGGCAACGTACAAGCTCAAGTATTGGCCCACGATTCCAGGACGCGGGGAATACGTCCGTCTAGCATTCAGAGCAGCCAATGTTGCCTTTTCTGACGATGACGACGTGTCGGAGCTGAAGTCCTTCATCACGCCTCGGGCGGGTCATTTCGCACCTCCGGTGCTGGAAGTGGAGGAGAATGGCAAAAAGTTCAGTTTGAGTCAGACACCGGCCATTTTGGCCTATCTTGCTCCAAGATTGGGCTTGGCTGGCGATGGGTCAGAAGAGGACAGGGCAGCCGTCGTGAGCAGTCTGGCCAAGTTGTCGCTGCATCGTGCTGTGTATATGCATGCTGACAAGTCTACACCATCTTGCACCACCAGAACGCAATCACTCTGACCATCCTCGACCTGAGCAACGAGACTCACGACACCCACCACCCAATCGCCACATCACTCTACTACGAAGATCAAAAGTCAGAGGCGAAGAGCAGAGCGCATGACTTTCGCCAAAATCGCGTGCCCAAATTCTTTGGTCACTTTGCAAAGTTGGTCAGCGAGAACCCAACAAAGTCTGGCTTATTGCACGGAGACAAGGTAACCACGGCAGATTTGACGCTATTCCAGGTGCGTTGATGCATTGCTTTCCCGCCAGCATCAGCGGCATTTTGTTTGGGTTTGGGAGAGAGTAGAGATTGAGCTGATCGAATGGACTGCGTGTAATCCGCGCAGGTCGTCGAGGGCTTGACCTACGCTTTTCCGAAGTACATCAAGTCACTTACTGCCAGCTCAAAGGCAGCGTCCCAAGTAGCGCCAGTCTTTGCATTGAGAGACAAAGTCGCTCAGCACCCAGCATTGGTCAAGTATTTGAACAGCAAGGACCGCAGAGAATTCAACGAGTGCGTTTTCAGCATACATTTCAGAGGAGATAATGTACTGGTGTCGAGTCAGCGCTGACGAGACCTGCGCCTATCGTTTCCTTCACTCCGCCTCAGGTACGGGCTGTTCCGTCATTATGCGGAATTGGACAGTGAATATGAGGAGTGAAGCTCATGCATCAGAAGCGAGCGCCGCTGGTTGCGCAGATGCAGTGCAACAGCTCTTAGATCTACAGTGCGCACATAGGCGGATGCTCGTGCCCGAACGTTGGGACCTTTTCTCGCAGTGGCCGCTCCCAGATTCTAATTCCAAATAAATCTGGCGACCTCGTCATATCCCAAGTGACCTCTCGCGCATCTAGCGTGAGTCAGGGGGTGGCTGGTTTAGATCGAAAGCAAAGCGCTTGGGAGGTCTTTCAGACGAGCTTGTGTCCAGACCGTGCGAATGATGGTCTTCGGACGGACTAATGGCATTAGGCTGCTGAAGTGACTGCCCTTGATGAGAACTGGATCTGGAGGCCCTTGGCTCCGGGCTGGCGCCTTCAGTCGAGCGAGCTGTCTTGCTCTCAGCCGAAGGCTTGGTTCCTTCCAATCTTCTAGAGGAAGCGGATGAACCTCCCTCTGACAAAGATCTACCCCCGGGGCCAAAATCCGGATTCGAAGCCCGAATAGCCGCTAATCTTGCTTGATTTGCCTCGTGTCGACTACCGGACTTCGCAGTCCAAGGAGTGCGTGCTTCCCCTGTGTAACTCACGCCGCGATAAGGGCTATGAGTTTGGCCCTCTGCAAGGTAGATCCTGTAAGTGGAAGTCCCGTGGCCCGTCATAAAGCTCTTGGGAAAGATCCTTTTGCCATCCTTGTCACGCCCGATGCCGCTCGCGAATGAGAGGTGCTTAAACTCTGGAGGAATGCCTTTGTGAGTATGTGAAGGCACCCTGAAGCCTGTCTGAGGCTGACGGAGAGGTATGAGCGTATCAGCTCATCATCTATGCGATCCATGAGGCAAAGACATCAACTCACTTCAAAGCTGTGCAGTCTTGGGTCAACATTTCTTGCATGCGCATCGGCTGCCTCCTGAATAGTTGAGGGAAAGTGATGTCCTTTGATCTTATGGCCGTCCTTGATGATGACCGTGGGACCTTGCCCTGCAGCCATTCTTCTGTTCGCCTCTATTCCTAGCTTGTAGGGTGAGTCGGAAACATGAGGACCGACATACTCAACCCCTTTGATCTCCAGCTTGTGCCCGGGAGGCAGAAATAATTTGGCAGTTCCTCTGCGTCCCTGGACATTGTCGCCATGTGAAATTTCCGGCTTCAAGACGTGCCCTTCGCTGTCACATAACGTGCCCGTCGTGAAGAGATGCTCCGAGTTCTTGTGAGGACCTCCGCACTTGTTCCACGGCTTGGCCACCTGTCTTTGGCAAGCAGCGTCAGCCAGCTCGGACTCAAAGCTTTACAAAATTCAAGTTTCACACCTCGAGCTTCAACTTACTTTGAATTGGGCCAGTTTCGGATTCAAATTATGTTTGTAATATTGGGCTGCAGCCTCAATAGCCTCGTGGCCGCCAGGTATCCTGCTCTTACCCCCACCGGAATACGTGACGAGCACCTTGCCTGCGGTCGAAGCACGCGTTCCATCCTGCACAGCAGACACGCCGTCTGTTGTGGTCTTAGCGGCTGCTTCTGCCCCTTCTGCTGCTGCTGCGGCATCCTTGGGCATGACTAAGCGCTTCCTGAGGCGTGACTCGAGCTCGAGGGGTGGTGACCTATTTAGGTCGAAGATTGGGCGGGCGACCCTGGAGGGCGGCGACTGATTATCACGATCTTCTGCATCCTTTCTGTGCGTTGTTGAGCGGGAGGAGTGACCTGCTGACTTGTCGGCCGTCTCTTTGTCAGCGGAGCTTGACTGAGCAAGAAGCTGGGCGCGTTTCCGAGGCCTCCATCTCATCGCCGGGGTCGGATTTTTGGCTTTCGCTTCCATGGCTTTTTTGGCCTCGAGATATGGCGACGGTCCTCCGACGTATCCGCGGTACTTCTGATCTGGCGCCAGATACATCATTGTTCTGATGGCTGGCCTGTAGCCCGAAGACTCCTCCGGCGGGCCGAATACAGTACGACCATCTTTGTCGAAGGCGTACCCAATGGCATGAGCTTGATTGCGGCGCTCACCAACGCGTTTGCCAGTCCAAGTCCGGAAACCTTGCATGGATACAAATGTATGCAGGCGTGGCTCGACTTCCTTCGTATGCCACGACACCGCTTCTTTCAGCGCGGCCGCGTAATTAGTCTGCATCTCCTGGTTGGCATGGCCTAGCGCATGCCCGATAAAGGGCGGACCGTCCGTGCTTAAGCGGATGCCTGATAATTCATTGATGTGGCGGACTATCTTTTTGTATGGCTGGCGTGCCCTCGCATGATTCCGTGGACGCTTTGTGCCGCTGCTCTCTTCTACCCTCGGGGCTTTTGTGTCCCGAACTGCAGCGCCTCCCGGGCCCCCTGTAGAAATGTCGATTGGGGGCGTATGAGCACTTGAAGCCTGCGCCGCATGGCCCAGTGAGCTCTCAATACCCTTCTGGCCAGACCCACCCGCCTTCAACAAGGCTTCGGGAGGCTGCAATCTGCGTTCCAAGATTTCGTGTCCTTCACTTCGCCCTTTCTTCCTTGGTCGTGAGTAGGGGCGCCAATTGAGGTTCATAGGACTAGGCTTGTCATCGCTAAAGACGACGCTTTGTCTCTCCTTCCTCTTGACGGCAACGAGAGATGGGTCCTCTGCACTGAGCGGAGCTGGTATTGCAGAGGACCGGGCGCTAGGATGAGCGTTTGCAGGATCCCACCCAGGCCTTCGTTGCAGCTCAGGGTAAGGTGGTACTACGCCAACGTGCTTTTTGTTTCGGCCATCCAGGTAGGTGTAATTGGGCGGCAGATAGAGCCTGCGCTTAGTAGGCACGCCCATCGCTGCACCGCTCACCCTGCCGTACAGATCCTTTCCTTCATCATCGAGAAATCTTGCCACGGTGTATGGCTGGTGGTGACGCGCCGTACCGCCAGCCTCTCCGTACGGTCCGTGCGATAATGGGCCGTAGACCTGATCATTAGGGGAACTAGAGATCAGCCTGCGCGTTTGTGGTGTGGGATTTTCACAGCCTGTCACAACCACTTACTCGTATGGTTTTGGCTCGAGGGTCGACATGACTCGCGTAAAAGTCAGCGCTCGCTTGAATGGCCGCGACGTTGCGCTCCGATGTGTTCGCCATGTGTTGACTGTCGACGTACTGGACATGTGCGCGGTT